ACGTATAGGGTCGGAGTAGCCGGCGTCGATCGACAAGTCACGTGGCCCGAACTTTTAGGGGTCGCCCTGGTGGATTCAACACTGCAGGCATTACATCTAAGTTGAGGTACTGCCTGATATTTATCTATTTTTTATAAAAGATGTAGAGAGGCTTGCCCGCACAGTACAATAGCGCTTTCACTACGAAGAGTCAATATGTAAATCATCCTGCTATTTGTGAGGCTGGTGTAGTCGCGGTTAAATTAATAATGCTCTTGGTCAGGGATTTAAATAACGATAATAATTTTTTTAATTAATCAATATTTCGTTATAATCTTTTTTTTCTTTGATAGGTTTTGTTAGCCAAATGTCTTGGAAAGAAAATAATTATACAGAAACTGGAGCCGGACAACATGACGTCGCAACTGCAACCGTCTGTGCTAAATTTAATTTGAAGCGTATTGTTTATATGGGAAGTGAAGACGTTCGTCGGCAAGCTTTAAATATTTTTCGAATGAAATTATTGGGTGTCACTGTAGTTTCTGTTGGTTCAGGTTTGAGATTAATTAATATCTGATTGTTCCGAGTTACAATAAATCAATTTTATTAATCAAAGATATTAATTGCAGGAAATAAAACATTAAAAGATGCTATTAAGGAAGCAGTGCGTGACTGGATGACAAATGTTGCTACTACACATTATTTGGTTGGTTCAGCGATAGGACCACACCCTTTTCTTCAAATAGTTCGTGAATTCCAATCAATTATTGGGAAAGAAGCATGCGATTAAATGTCAAAAAAAGTTGATAAATTACCAGATTTAATAATTGCATGCGTTGGAGGCTATTGGATTATTTACTCCCTTTGTGGCCGATAAAAATGTTAAAATAGTTGAGGGAAGCGGCGGTAAGCTAATCATTTCTATGATCACTATTACAATCATCGTAATTTGTATTAAATTATTCGTATTTTTTTTAGATGTGAATACAAATAAACATTCGGTGTCTTGGTGCCCGGGGTGTTACCTGGCACACAGACATATTTGTTACAAGATTCTAAAGGTCAGATTTTAGAGACACATAGTTTAGTGCTGGTTTAGATTATCCAGGGGTTGGACCAGAGCATGCATTTTTGAAAGATATTGGTCGTGCTGAATATGTCGCGGTCACAGATGTTCAGGCTTTAATTGGATTCTGAAAAATGTCAAAATCATTCCGGGTAAGAGATAATTGATAATCGATTAATTATTGAAAGTTGCTGTAATAAAATAACTTGAAACCAGCCATGCGATTTATACACCATCAAACTTGCAAAAACAATGAAACCCGATCAAGACATTTGTTAAATGTTAGTGGAGGAGGTGAAATCGGTTGCAGAAAATTTGCCTAAACTTAGTCCACAAATTGGTTGGGATTTAATGTCTTTACAATATAAATAATTGTCTAATACCTAGACAATCTTTTCACGTGTAATATGCGTATTAGCTATATTTTTTTTGATTATTCGTTCTGTAATAATGGATCTCAATACTGAATCAACTGCTCAAACCTCGAGATAACTTTATCACATTAACAAGAATGCGAACCGAAGCGGAATGGAAGAGTGAAACGATTTCATATATCCATAGTATTAGGAAACGTCTATATAGTTAATCTCTACTATTCTTCAGCAAGTCATTATACCAAATTTCCTTTAATTTACATTTGCTTGTGTAACGAACATCTTGATGATCTCACGCGAAGAAATTCGATCGCGTAATATATGAAAGGTGACTCATTTTCTTGTGAAAAAAAATCTCGCAATGTCTTTAACTAATAAAAGAAAAATATTTTCTTTATTTTTAAGCAATTACGATGAATTAAATGCGATTATAAGATTCGTTTTTTACTTGAAAAATATTGAAACAAATGACATCAAAGATTCTTTAAATTACATCGTTGCTAATTCATATGGGGAAGAAAAAAGTTCCAAGGAAATTAGAGTTAAGTAATACTTTCATTTGTATACTTATTAATAATCCAAATGATGAGATATATACCTCCTCCATATATGTATGTATGTTTTTGAGTTTGATATTGAACGGTTACTTAGTAAAGAACAAGATACTGGTTGGTGAAAAAGAGATGCATATTGAAAATACAAATCCCACTAGCCAATACCCGAAAGGGTACGCCTCATGTAGGGGCCAGATACTTGGTTATTGAACAGAATATACTTAGTAAAATCCAAAAAGTACTCGTTAAGAGTCACTGAGTAGGGATCAGATTCAAAAACTTTTTTTAAATTATTCGAATATATATATATATTTTTTTTTTGATATTTGAGTATTTTTTTTATCGAACATTCTGATTGAGCTTTATTGTTACTAAAAGTATATACTAATTGATTATTACAGGGGTTATTGAAAAAAGTATGGAGTTATATAGATGCATATGAAGTTGTGGAGAAATCCATAGGAGGATTAAGCTATGAAATCGAAAAATTAAAGGAATACAATGATGATAACGATAGTAATTCTGATGATGATTCAGAAGCTGCTACTACTGCGGCAGCTGAACAACAAGCTCAACAACACCGGCAATCACCACCACCTTCTAATATTAATAGTGATGCAGCTGAACAACAATCTCAACAACAACATCAGCAATCATCACCATCACCTTTAAATACCGATAATATTAACGATAATATTGAACAACAATCTTCACTACAACAACACCAGCAACCATCACCATCACCTTTAAATGTCAATAATATCAATGATAATGTTGAACAACAATACTGGCAACTATCACTCTCACCATCACCATTACTATCACCATCATCTTCTAATCATCTTGATGATCATCTTCCAACAAATAATCAAACTTTGGAGGAAGCTGATAATTATGATGATATTGTCAATAATACACTACAGACGGATCAATTCGAGATAGTACCACAATCGAAGATAATACAGCGCAATGCTGATAATTATCTTCGACCTATGGAACGTCTAAATTATGAGTCACGCGGTCATTTATCAAAAAGAGGACGTGGACGACCACGAAAAAAAAAGCATAGCAATGATAATGAGGCCAGAAGAAAACATCTTCGTCTAGATCTGGAGGAATGGACAGCGCAAAGAGATGAGAATCCTTCAGATTTGGAGGAATTGACAGATTTGGAATGGACAGCAAATGAAGATGAGAAATTATTAGCATTGGTAGACAATACCATTATTAAAGGTTCGATTATATTTCCGTGGAGTGACATCGCTAATGACATCAAAAATCATGATGCCGCAGGGTGTTTTTCTCGCTGGAGAGTTTTGAAAAGATTATCGTGAAGATGATAATAAAATCATTGTCAGTCAAGGAATAATTTCAAATTATGCTTATTATAAGTATATACTTTATAAATGTAATCAATAATGTTTATAAGAATAATGCCTTTACAATTTAATTGATACATCCCAATTATAAGCACATGAACAAAGTTGGCTATATATCACATAGTGCAAATTAGCTGATACAATTATTGATTAAATACTATTCTGTCTTGGATTGATTAGTTATCTATCAGCTTCCTTCCGCGATTGAATTTCTTTTTCCAGATTCAATGGATAATTTCATGGGATTCTAAACACACAACTCGCAGTCAACTCAGCATCGATGAAATTCATGAAATCATCATTGCGTTCGGAAAAGCTGATGAACGTGCAATAAAAGCTAGATTTGACGTGTTAGAAATCCATTTCTCACATGGATACCTTCTCTCTGGATTCCTTTCACCGTTATCAATAAAAGAACCGACAATATGGTGGAAGCTTTGAAAACAGAATTCGATTCAGTCTCGAAATAACAGAACGCATGCGTGTTATTTGGCCAACCGACCGACCTTTGTTTGCCAGAGTCTCAGTCAGTATATCTGTTAGCCAAGTAATCTAAATTAACAGATTAAGCTTAAGAAAAATTGCAAGCTGCAATCGTGAAGCAAAATCGATTGCTGAAAAAGCATTAAAAGAGAATAATGAAATATCTAAAGGATCTGGTATATATTAATTTTTAATTGTTATATTCGTAATAATACATGACAATAATAACCAATTTTTTCAATAGACGAACTTGTCAGTGAGCTCAAAGCAAAAGCGCTTTCACTCGAGGAACTACTTCAGCTTTCGCGACACACCGACAAACATTACAATTACGTATTGCCGATCTTGAAGCGATGAGAAAATTGCCGAGCAAACAATACACATGCGTGAATTCGAAGATATATTAAAAGAGCTGAATCAAATGCATGGAGATTCTATTGTTGGTGCTGCCGCAGGTGTCAGTGGACTGAATCGACAAGAGATTACAAAAAAATGGAAGAATAAAGTTTGGACTCCGCCTACATTTTGTGAATTGAAGGTAACTGCATTATTAATTATGCTCTATAAAGAAAAAATAATTATAAAATCTAATTATTTATTATGTCGTTTTTATTAGATACCAGATCCAAGTGATTATTATAGAAATAGTTGATACTGGTTATAGTTCAAGTTTAAATTCTGTTGTATTTTCACAACAACAACAAATGAATTCATCAACACGATTTTTTTCCCCACTTCAATTTATACCTCAACAAAATAATAATAACGAAAGAAACACAGTTTCTGCTCTATTTCTGGGTTCCGTATTCCTCTTCCAGATCCGGGACATAATATTTTAGATGATTATCACGAAAAAGATGGTGGTATTAGTGGTGAAAGGAAAAAGTCAAAATAGACTCCATTAAAATAGACACTAATAATATAACAGGTAATAATAATATAGAAAATGGTCAAAATCCGTCTAATAGTTCATCAACCACCGATATAACAAAAGTTTCGTCATCGCCTATTAATGAATTTCCTGCAACGTCACAAGGCGGAGATAATATACGTCACCTCCTCCAAAATCGGAAGATGTAGATAATATACCTCCACCGCCTCCTCCACCTCCAATGGGAAATGAAAGTAATATTTCACCACCGCCACCACCTCTTCTTCCCGAAATGGGAAGTGATGTAATATTCCTCCGCCATCCCCACCGCCAGGAATTCCGGGTGCACCTCAAGGCCGCCTGGACCACCTCCACCTCCTGGTAGCTTCGTTCCTGCAGCTCCTGGTGAAAACCAACGTAAAGAAATTCCAATGGGAAAATATTAATAAATTCTCCATTAATAAAATGATTTGAGGACGGCCCAATATGACTGATGAGGAGTTGCTGATGTTACTTGGTGGTCAAGATGATGTAGAAGAATTATTTGCTGCTCGGCAAATTGCACCGAAAAGTAATTTTTTTTAATATTTAAAGTTTTTATAATTTTACCATTACTCATATCATTTTCTATTAATAAATTCTTTGACATTTACAGGGAAAAAGTTGAAAAGAAAGAGGAGATAAGTGTATTGGATGCTAAGCATGCTTATGATATAAGTATGTATTTGAAATTATTTATTTTTAATTATATTCTATAAATGACGTAGAATTATTTTTTATCAAGAGATTATGCTCGGTCGATAAAAATGCCATTCTCGTAAAATTGTGCAAATAAATGTACAGAAAATTTATTAAATCAATTATGCAATTTACACCTACTCCTGATGATGTTTGATTTGTTCTCCTCTTAATTGGTGTTTTCTTTTCGAGTATATGTTAATCATCGGATTTCTAATCACGATTATTAAAGAGGAGTAAATTGATGGTGTACAAAGATAGTCCAGAGGATGTCCTTGACAATTTGGCAAGACTGATCGATTTTTCGTCGAGGTTTGTTTTACTAATGGAAAATTCACTAATTTTTTTGAGTCCTTGTTTAAAATTTATTTTATAACCTATTAAGTAATGCAAATACATCGATACGAATAACGTCTAAAGTTTATGCATTTGCATATAACTTTCGATGAAAAGTTTAATGATCTTGAGCAGGTAATTATTAGATTTTATTCTAATAACTCACTTTAATTAAAGAAATAAATTAATTATTTTTTGAATTTTAGAGTGTCGTTGCAGTATTAAACGCGTCAATAGACGCTAAACATTTCCGTGAATTACTGGATGTAAGTTATTTTTATATATCATATTTACATTGTAGAGCGATTAATTTCTTAGTGATGGTTCATTTTTAGCTTATATTGTTACTTAGTAACTAAATTAATAGAACGACGATTAAAGGTGGTGCATTTGGTTTCAAGATTGCAAGTATAAATAAGGTAAGTGATTCGAACTTCTAGTAATCAAGTTGATTCAATTAAATTAATTGATATTATTAATTTTTTTTCAATTAAATTAATTGATATTATTAATTTTTTTTCGCTTAAAAGTTGGTTGATACAAAAGCTTCTACTAGTTCCTTGATGATATTATTATATTTTCTTGCGAATACAGTGGAAAACAAAGTTCCACATGTTATCGAGTTCACTGAAGAATTAAAACGTTGTGGATCTGCTTGTCGAGGTTAATTTCTCTTTTGAATTTTATTCGATGCTTATGAAAGTTATATTAAATTAACAATAAATTAGTGTCACGAGTTAACGGCAGAGTATCGACAAATGGGTACAAATTAAATGATCTCGCCTCAGAGTTCGAAAAACATTTTGGCGATGATGTGCAATTAGAGGAGGGAGATCGATTCCCAGATGTTATGCGATCATTTGTACAAAAATCTTTGGAGAAATTCGAAGGACTCAAAGTGAAATATACTTCAATGGAAGTAGCGTATAAAGATGTGGAGGTGAAGATCCAAATTCCACAAAACCGGATGAATTCTTTGGGGGTGTTCAAAACATTTTTTGCATCTTTCGAGGTATGAGTTTATTCTATTGTTTTCTGTTGTATTATTACTGTATCTTTTGTTTTTCTAAAGATTAACTTATTGAAATAGATATTGGTTGAACACTTATATCACGAGATTACCTACCTGAGTCCAGGAACTCGTGACAATGTTACCATATTTTGTAATTATTGAAGTATTCTCTTTATTTATTTACTTTCTTTGGTAATAATTTTTTTTTGTTAATAAAAGATAAAAAATTCTATTTTACTCACAAAGAGAGCATCAAAAAGTTGTTACCATTTTTTATGAGTTCTTGAGAGAGCTAATAAGTACTTAATAATATTATAATAAGTTGATTAATCAAAATAATTATAGTAAATTTTATTAAGAATTACAGATAAAAGAATAACATCAGGAAATTTTTATATCTGATTATAATCAATTATTATCCAATAATTAATTGCAATTAAATATAATCAATAATTATTAAAATTGAATATAATTAATTTTTTGTTTAGAATCAGTAAATATCTATAATCAATGATCATTAATTTTAATTAATCATTTACAATCAATTATAATTAATTGTAATCATTGCCAATCAATTATCTATTCAAATCTTGAAATTACAAGTAATGAATGCTCCTTCACTTTAAATAAGTCATTGATATTATTACTTTTGTTTATTTTAGTTTTGTTATTTTTAGATCATGTTGATAAGTTCTATTTAATTATTTTTAATTATTTTAGTTTATATTTTGTAATTGGTACTCTCAATAAGTTCAATTATTATTTTATTTCATTAGATATCATCAATAAGTTCTGTTATTTACTTTGAAACTATTTGTTAATTTCTTTAATTCTTTTTGCATTTTTACTTTATTTTCTATCTATTTCTATTCTTTATTAATAATAATTAGTTAATTTGTATACAAGCTATCACAAGAAATTTTTAGAACCTTTAGTGAACTCTATTAATCATAATTCATTTAGTCTTTGTTTTTTTACTGTTATATTACTTTGTTAGTTCATTAATTTTAACAATTTTTGAATTAACAAGAATAATACCTCTAGAACTTGCAATTACTTTTTTAATTCTAAAAATTTTGATGAATACAGGTCAAAATAATAATTGAAAAAGTTAATTAAGACAAAACAAAACAAAAATTAAAGTAACAGTATTCAAAATAATATCAACTACAATAATTAATCAGTTTCAAATAATTCTGATACAACAAATATTATAATTCTTTTAATTATTACTTATAGCTTTGCAATTTATAAATAATAAGCAACAAACTTCATTTAGTAACTTTTCTAGGATTACTCTTCTTGTAAACAAACAGTATAATACAAATAAAAGAACAAAGTACAATGATAATATCATAATAAAAAATAATACTAATAAAGTTAATTAAGTAATTCAATTATTAATATTCTATATTTAAATATACAAGAATTTACTATATTAATCAAGACTACTAAACTTGAGTAGTGAATAAGAAAAAAAGAAAGACAAAGTAGTACTACAAGTTTTAGCTGATTAATTTACATATTATAATATTTTAGAAGATATAATTAATACAAAAATCAATATCTCATTTGGTTAACTTATTTGAACTTTTTTTAAACAAAAATTTAAATTATTCAAAGATTTAAGAAAATCAATCAAATCAAGAAAAGTCTCTAAGCATAAAGTTATAATTAAATAAAATTAAGAATTATCTCAGTCTAATGTGAAGTAAAAATTAAAACTATATCAATTAATTTAATTCTTAATATTAAATATCTGGTTATATCATAAATTATGAGTTCTTGAAAAAATAAAATATTAAAATTCAATGAAAATTTAAAATTATCATAACTGATATTACTAAAATTATTAATTATCCACTTAAAGCTATTAATAACTTCCTAATTACTATTAATAAACTTATTATTTTAGCTGATATTAATATTACTCTTGTACAAATTTATAATATAATTATTAAAATGAATTAGCTTAACAAAATCAAAGCTAATTTGAATCTTAGAAAAAATATTATGACTTTGAATAGAATAATCAAAAAGTATAAATCAATATTAAATTCATTTATAATTAAGATTATAATTTATCTAATATTAATAGATCTAATAACTCTGATACTTTAAATAAAAGTTTAACTAATAACAAATTAGAAATTAAAGAGCAATATTTAGAAAAATAATTTTTCTTAATATTGCAACAACAATAACAAACTCAATTACAAAAAATCTAAAACATTATTAACTTTAATAACAAAAAGAAATATGCACAATCACAAAAAAAAGAATAAACTCTTGTTAAAAATAATATTCTATCCTAAAACAAATTGATCACAATCCAATTTCTGAAAAATTGCTTATAGTATATCTTTATATCAAAAAGTTTAATATTATTAAAAAGATATTATACTTTAATAATAAAAATTTACCTAAAAACAATTTATTAAACTTGATAATTAGTTTTAACAAACTGATAAATAAGATAATAATTAGTATTATGATTAAAGAAAACTAAATTAATAATATTAATACCATAAAAAATTATACTGAGAAAAAGATTAATGTCAAAAATATTATAATAGTTTATTACTATTTTTTGCTACAAATAATATAAAGCTAAATTCAAAACTAAAAATAAATAGACTAAAGAAGTAAAACAATAATTATTCAATAAACAATAAAAATTCAACAAATATCTTATCATAAAATTGGTTCTAAAAATAGAATTTAATCTGAACACATAATATAATATAATAAATGCAAGAAATATTCGGATGAATATTTTGAAAATGCATATTATTTAGCTAATAATACTATTTTTAGTTCATATAATAAATATAAAAGAACAAAAAAATTAAATTTATCATTATATGTAGTTTGTGAATATTATATTCCTATAAAAGAAATATATTATTACAAGTTTGTTTACTAATTATTAAATTAGCTTACAAACTTGAACTTGTATTGAAAGAGAGTAATAGACTAATAAAAATATTAAAAGAAAAAGAGAGATATTTAAGACTTATATCAATTTCTATAGAAATTGTATTTACTTAGAAAGTGATGATAATATAGGAGAGTTGTGAAAAAGTAAAGATCAAAGAAAAAAAAGGATATAAAAAATAAAAGAATAATAAAAAGTGTTTGAAAGACTAATTCTCTGTATTGTTACCATATTATATGAGTTCTTGGGAGAGCTGGTGAGTGCTTAATAACGTTATAATAAGTTACTTGGCCAGGATAATTATAGTAAAGTTTATTAAGAATGACGGGTG